TTATTGCTGATGCTTTCAATGCTATACGTTTTTTTTTCTAATGAAACATCATTGAGGAGATAAATTGCAAGAATAAAACGGAAAAATAGACGAGCGAAACGGAACGAATTGGAAAAGAATTTCTTCAGAAATATGCCTACGGCACACCCACTATAACGCAAGTGCTGCTTTTGCACGGGCTTGGTATTGCATGATGGCATCATTTGCTGCGATTTAGCATCAGAAAAGATATAAAAAATCCACTTTTCGATTCCTCCACAATCCACATGGGTATGAGAATTTAAATATATGCCATTGCGTCACGTATTGCAGACGTATGCCATTGCGTCTGCCTGTCATGGGCAGATAGCGTGGTGACCCCCGGCCATCTTTCCATCCCTCCTCTGACGGTCTCTCCCTCTGTCTTCCATCTTCCTGACGCCCAAGGGCGGCAGCCCGGACAGTTCTTTGGACCGTCAGCCATCCTACAGGGCCCTGAGCCCCCCTCCTCCCCCACCCCTCGCCAATCGCAGTGGGTCGAGGCCCGTTGCCATCCACAATGGCATACCATCGCTGTGGGCGGCGGACGCTAAAATTGTCTGACGTCATAGGCCTCTATCGCAGCGGGACACATGGCACCGTTCACCGACCGGGGGCGGAGCGATGTCAGCCGTGGTGAGAAAGGGGTGCGCCTCCTCCCCTCTACCTCCTCCTCCCTCTCCTCAAGTCTCCTCTACCCAGCGCGTGATCCCTTCAGAAATAAACGTCTCCTACAGGCTGACGACACAGCCAGTACGGTTTGGCACCTTATTGTGGCTGACAATGGTCGCCTTCCAAAGACACATGCCTCTCGGAGAAAAATAAACATCGCGGTGACGGATGAAGGGGTGCGGGTGGTCGGGTGCACGGCAGGAGCGGGCAACTAGACCGGTCGGTAGGAGGGGCGGACAGGGGTGGTGCGACGGTCAGTCGCTCGGAAGGACAGCACGGCGGTCAGTCGGTCGGAAGAGGCCGACGGGGTAGCACGGCGGGGTCGAAGGGTAAGGAGCGGGGTGTGAGCTGCGAACAGTCGGTGGAAAGGAGGCCCACTGTTGATTGTTCCGCCGGGAACGGAAAGGGCGAACGTGACTCTCAACGGAGCATGGATGGTAAGCTTGATGACCGAACGTTAACTTAACACAATGCAAGAGTTAAGTGTTATTGAGTGATCGTTTATAGGTGTACTACCGGGCTACCGGCATCGAGATTAAACATGAACAACTTAAAAAATCTGGTTATTCGAGCTTCACTTCTCGCCATTTTGACTCAACAATCGAGAAAAACAAGCTTATAGACTTGTGGAGGGCAAACATAACCTTGCCACCGCACGTGACTGCACCACTTCGTTTTTATGTTTTTGGCAGAAGGCGTTCATGCCTGCCTCAGGTCTGCCCGCTCATAATCCTCTTTACATAATGGCGGTCGCTCGTTTCTGATCGAACACTTGTGCTCAGTTACCCAAGCGTAGTTCCGGGACAATAAGCGCTATCAAACACACTTGTGCACTGCACGCCTGCCTCGGTGCAGGGATGCGCGTCTTATAAAACACTTGGGCAGTCGAGGCTAATGCTTGCATGTCTACTTCGACGTTTCATTACCCTCTACTGCAACACCTGACCCGTGATTCCTCAGAGATTTATGACATGCATCTGCCATGACCCGTTCCCGTTCCGATATTGTCCTCTCTTGGGAAATCATGGAAGCATTCCGGGTCCCCTCTCCTGAGCTGCGGCACGATTTTCCGGCCCCAGCTGCGCCGGGAGAACGGCTGACTGCCGTCTCTCCATCGATTTCATCATCCCGTGCGGGCGGGGACCGCCGCTCTTGGGAGGGTGGGGTATGAACGGGGAGGGGTAAAATCTGAGGGTCAGGGAAAGACGGTCGGCTCAAAGGTGCAGAGAGCGCTTCCCTTGGTTGCTTTTTTTCATTTTTCTGGGTTGCTGAGTGGTTGATGTCAGGCGCACATCGTTCACGTCTATTAGCGTTCAACAGATGCCATGTCGTTAGGATCTCTTCGGACGTTGACGTATAGGAGTTAGTGACTGGTCTAATTGGATTCAGACTGTTTTTTACGAGCTAAGAGAGTTCCGTTTGTCATTTTGTTGTCGAGTGTCACGGTGCCAGGATGGCTGACGTAACGGTGACTGTAATTGTCATAGAGAATCATGTGACTGGGCGGGCAAAGCCGCTGTTTTTTCCGAAACATATGATATTAGCCGAGAAACGTCATCAAGTTAATGTTATTACTATGTGTTAATGTGTACATTTGCTATTAAATGTCCTCAGCTGTTCCGAAAAGTTCGTGACTGTATTTGTCACTTCGTCAGCGGTATATCTCTACGGTAGAGCTATACCGCTGACGAAGTGACAAATATAGTCACTAAACTGTCCAAAACAGCTGAGTACATTTAATTTTTACACATACTCATGTCCAGAACTATTATAACTTTGCTGATATGACGTCCTAAAAGAAAGCCACGGCAGTTGTTTAAGTAGAGATCACTAAAAGGGACAACATTATAGGCATGTAAGTTTTTAAATATTTGATGACAAGAAACGACTTTCAAAATTCCTCCAAGCTCTTCTTTGCTCGAAGTTACAAAAGCTCATGGAACCTCCACATGTGTCTTGACAGCAATATTACACACCCTCCTCTCCCGATTTCGAACCGGGCTGGACCGAACCAAACCGGATCGGACCGGAACGGACCGGACCAGTGAGAGTCCCTGAGGGCTTCCACCTGGATACAGTGGGGCAGGGGGCTGAAATGAAGCATGGTGCGCCGGGCCCCGGGTCGTCCATAGGTTGGAAGAGTAGCGTGGACTGGGGGTTAGGAACCTGGGCCCGTGTGGCCAGAAGTTTGTGTGAGAAAGCTGGGGTGGGTCGCTAGCAGGTGGGCGAAAGGGCGGTAGGTTGAGGAGAGCTGCAAGCAGGCTGTAGGTCGGCAGCTTGACGTGTAGATGTCTGCTAGCTGTCTAGATCGGCAAGATACGAGAACCCTGGGAAGGGTAAGTACCCAAGCTGTATTTTATTTGACCAATTCCCAATGGAATACTGGCCCTTAAATGTTTGAGTGTTTAAAAAGTCCTAAGTTGCGAAGATGACGTGCCGAAATAAAAAACCGGTTAATTTAGTATAAAGCTAGGTGCGAGCCACCTAGCCCAGTGAATCCCACGGAGAGAAGGGCGCGGACTGACCAGGTCGGGCGGTCGATCGATGCTGCGAGCCGGGGAGAAGCAGAGCCGGCGGTAACCCTAGGAGACTGGCCCCGGGTGTTGTATCGGGTCCGAGCGCCGAGTCCCCACCGGCTGCCGGGGCTTCATCGCCCGCCAGACCGCAGTTGGGAACTCGCCGGATGTTTATCCGCACAGTGCTGCTGTCGAGATTGAGTGTGTGTGAATTTCGACAAGTCTCACCGGCCATGTTAACCGTAAACGAACATTGAAGGGCCAGTATGAGTATTCCAACAGCGAGCAGCGTTGGAAGTGTGACTATGCGTAGCAGCTGCGCGCCGCCAGAAGCGTATGCAATACGTATCTCACTAGGCAAGCTGAGACGGTTCTTTTATGCGTTCATTCACTATGAGACACAAAGCTCCATTCATTTGTGCACATTGTGCTGTTCTTATAAGTGTGGAAAGTGCATCGTACTGCACCATGAATGATACTAAAACGTTTTAGGCTTTCAGTAGATCTATTTTTAAGTGTGCAATATGGCTTCTTTGGCCAAGCGGATAAGTGTATTGACGCTCCAAACCCTTTCTCGCATATCTTTTTTCCCTATTCCCCTAATCATCCTTCCTGGTATTCATGCGTCCGTCTTTTTGCCAATCCTTTCATAACTGTCCCAAGGCGACCCCGCGACTTCCATTGCCGCGCATTATCTCTCCCGTGCTCCCGTCCCTGACACTCTCCCTCTCTCTCTCTCTCTCTCTCTCTCTCTCTCTCTCTCTCTCTCTCTCTCTCTCTCTCTCTCTCTCTCTCTCTCTCTCTCTCCCTCTCTCCCTCTCTCTCTCTCCCGACCCGCGGCCCCGTCTGTTCCCCGCCTGCCGTCTGTTGATAGTGCAGTGTAGGTGGTATCGGCACTGCCGGCCTTCGGGATCCGTAGTCTGGCGACGGCCGCTGGCTCACCGGTCCGGGACAGAAATACACGGTCGGACCCCTCCCGGCCCCACTGTGCGGTTCGCGGATAGAACTGAGGTGGATTGGACGGAGGCGGTGACGGTTATCGGTAAACAGAGTGACACACGTCACCATTTGGGGCTGTGTTTAGCTAATCAAGCGTTTCGTGTGTAATCTGATGTCTGCGTAATTGTTACGAGATAATTAATGTCATCAATGTCAGGAGATGGAATAAAATCAACGTGCTTTCGATGCGTTGTTCGTGTGATTATGGAAGGCGGATATGCCGATCGACGTGCAGGGGCTCATAAATCACGCATAATGAACATGTCTGTCGGTTAAACTAGCCAAGACCCTATAAATAGCAATCAGACTTGTTGAAATATGCACAGTGTACGAGTATATGAAATATGTTTGGAATGCTTAGAAATAATCTCAAACATTCTGACTATCATGAAACGTATCATTATACAGGTATCACCGGTTTGAATATGATGACATGCAGCGTTTTTTTTTTTATTTGTAGACAGTTACCTATACTGGCAAAATAGGTGTGTGTGTGTGCCTAATCCGTTGAGGTATAGGAGCTTTCACTTATCTGTATACCCGTAAAATTCTTGCTTTCAGCAACGAAAAAGTTCTACACAACCTAAATAGGTACTATCAAGATGTTAAACATTTACAAACGAAAAAATGTTTGTCTAGACAACAAACACAAAAATGACAACAAAAATGTTTGTCCCTTTCCCCTGCTTGCAAACGCCTGGCTTCCCCACAAAAAAATAGAAGGTGTCGTCATTCAGTCTAGCCTAGCCCTAGCTTACATTTCCCACTGACCCCAGTGACGTCATTTGCCGTCAGGAGGGCATCTCAATGGAAGTGTACAGACGAACGGTGGCTCCGGCCAGCTGTCTGACTTATCCGAAGGAGAAGCTGGTGACGTGCTGGCGCCACCCGCACCAGATGAGGGCAACGCTACGCACCTCGAGAGAAGGGTGGGACTCTTCTCTGGGGTTGCTCTAATTGTCGGCACCATGATCGGTAAGTCAACAGTATTTAACAACTTCTTAACAAAAGTGTGCGGATATTGGCATCTGATATCAAGCTGTGATGATTTTTAGGTAACGTCAAAACTCTGGACATAACGTTCCGCGTAATAATGTGCTGCTACTCGCTGGCCCATTGACCCCATATGCTTACGGATACTTATGCGTTTTTGTGTGTTGTATATTTATCCACTATTTTGTTTAATACGTTTTCGTCAATTTGTATGAACCATATCACTCAAAGACATAAATATTATGTATTTGTATCGCTCCTGCAGCTCTACTTTTGCGACCGTGAAAGTATGCATTTCAGAAAATTATGATCCGATGTAGACAGAAAGGAATGCGATGCTCAAAAGGTCAGCCCGGACCCATGGGAGGTCGGTGCCCCCGAGCCTCGCCTTTCTATTGATTCGCATGGAATGCCACAACACAACAGACCTGGAAGGAATGTGCCACCCCATCACATACCGGAATAATCAATGCGCGATTTAGTGTCCAATGTCCATGAGTCGTGCCCGAGGCTAAATTACTGACTCTGATGGGAGCCTAGCACTGTCACGAAATCATTTTGAGTTAATCATATCATCGGTCTGCTAAGCATGAAAGAAAATGATGATCGTTTTCTTTTGCCATCCACTCACTGTTGCCACCGGTCGCCATCATCTTGTCCGTCGGATGTGCTTCAGGATGATATTATATAAACTATGATCATATCCAGGACATTCGTTCAGCATAGGTAATTTACAATTTGCGTGGGGCTGCATGTCTGGTGTCCAAGACTTTAGAGTTCTGTGGTAATGACCTTCCTGTCCTTATTGGACGAGCAGCTTCCTCGTTGAGCTCAGCACCGATTCATGCCATAGTGACTGGTGATAAAAGATATTGCAGCATTCAAACGTGGTCGACCGTTAATCACAAAACCAGTGCAACAGGCGGGCATTTGCATACTAAGTCGCGGACGTCGCTCATTATGGAAACTACTGAGAGAGAAATGTCAAAAGCAACACGCAAGCGTCGGGTGCTGAGTTGGCCCTATTACGCTAATCAGATTATATGGATACCAACCAGAGCGTCGAGAGACGAGAACCGCAAAGTCGAAACCTTGCAGTTTTGTTCTTATTTTGTGTAAAAAGGCGCCCTAATGTGACCATGGACCTAATGTGTGGAAATGACGGCAATTATTCAATTCTTGTAGCTTTGCTTTCTACGATTAGAGACACAAATGAATGCACGCACACCATGCCCTACTACAAAACCTTTCTAGAGATTTTCTCGTAACCTAGCCTTCTTTGTATGTTGATATGCATTGCTTTGTGATATTTGCTACGTTTTGTGACCGACTGACCGGGCGGATCTCTCGGCAGGATCTGGGATCTTTGTGTCCCCCAAGGGTGTGCTGGAGCGCACCGGATCCGTCGGAATGTGTCTTGTCGTGTGGATGGGATGTGGTGTCCTCTCCACATTGGGTGAGTATCAGCAGCAATCTCATTCGTCACGCTTTTGTGGCACTAAAATTGCCGACATTTATTGCTAGCACCTGTTCTGATCTTTGAGGGCACTTGATAGCCTACCTGTGCCCTAGCGCCCACCCAAAAGCTCCAACAACAAATGATTCTGATCTTTTGGCATGACACAATCATTAACAATACCCTCAACATGCTTATATACCTACCTTACAATCATATTTATTGGTAACAACAATCGATGGCCTCATAAGGCCGCCAGACGGGTCTTCCCTTTGCCGCACTTGTGTGGTGGCCTGAGTAGGATCTTGTCCTACCTGCACACCGATGTTCCTGTGATCCAATAGACCTCGTACGGTCTCGCCGCTGATGAGTTAAACCCCAGCGGCCTTCATGGCCTCCTGAGCTGAGCTGAGTTGAGCCGGTCTCGGGTGACAGTGATACTTGAGGCCGACGACGTCCTGTCGAGAGAAGCCACCGGCTTCCTGGATGGTCAATGGGTCGTACCGTGTCCTCAATGTTAGGGCTGGCCGGTCGGTTCGGCGGTTGTCGGTCGGTCGGTCGGTCGGTCGGTCGGTCAGACAGGCCCATATTTTCCGATTGGGGCGTACTGAAGGTAGGCTGTCTTTTTATATCGGTCTGGCTTATTGATGTTTTTTTCTTACCCGCGAAATGAATACTGTGTTGCTATAAGTGTCCTTTGCAGTCTTCAGTATGACCCGTGTTTCCTGACTTGATTGTGACCTCCTTACCTGAGCCCTTATAACCTGACGCTTCTTTTGTCCTAGCACAATGATATCCCACGCTGCTCATTATATCCCGGAAGTTAAGCTTCCTAGCTAGAGTTAAGAACTTCCATCGTCGGTAACCTTGGTTGACCTTTTGAACCTTTGTTCGATTCTACGTGACCTCATGCTAATTTAGGGATTGTTCATGTTGACAAATGTGTCATCCCATCCAACATCTTGGATCCTCTTGTAATCAGTTGTTAACTCGAGCGATCCCCGTGGCATTTCTATGAGCTCCCTGTGATCCTACGTGACGTCAATGTAACCTCCTTTGACCCCAATATAACTTCCTGGGAGCTAATGACCGATTCGAATTGAAAAATTAGCATGTGACCCATTGTGACCTCTAATATGACACGAAACTTTGAAACCACACATGACACAGTACGTCCTTTCGTACGGCGGTACGACCTCTCGTGGTCCTCTTCTCCCACGGTGACCCAATGTAAGCACTTGTATTCCGTTGTGACCTTAAATGAACCACTCTGCTTTCTCGCGAGGCAGGCTCGACCTCTTGTATTTTACATGTACCAGTGCAACCTTTAGGGGTTCCCATAATGAACCTTGTAACCTTGTATGACCCATGACCCGCTCGTTCTGAGAGTCTGACCTTAGTTGACCTTTACTGACCTCATGTGACTTCTGCTGGCCCAGGTGACTTCGGCAGACCTTATTTGACCTCTGCTGACCCGGGTGACTTCAGCTGACCCCCGTGTGACCTCTGATGACCCGAGGTGACCTCTCATGACCTTTTATGACCTCAGGTGACCCCTACTGACCCTATGTGCCCTCTGCTGACCTCATGTGCCCCCTACTGACCCCGTGTGACCTCGGCTGACCCTCAGGCGCGCTGGCGTACGCCGAGCTGGGCACGGTGATCCCGTCCTCTGGCGCCGAGTATGTGTACCTGCTGGTGGGCCTGGGCAACCTGCCGGCCTTCGTCTTCTCTTGGGTGTGCTCGTTCGTGCTGAAGCCGAGCATGCTGGCCATCATCTGCCTCTCGTTCGCCGAGTACCTGGTGGAGGCGTTTGTGGAGGAGTGCGAGCCTCCCGCCCAGGTGGTCACCCTGGTCGGAGTACTCACTATCGGTGAGAAGGGAACTCACTCATCACAGTGAGAGCTTATACGCAGCAGAACTCACACTGAAATCTGTCACGGAATAGTCTGGAGAGCTTACATAGGAACGTTCGCACTGTGTGTTTAAATATTAAAAGGAAGTTCACAATAGCATTAAAAGGAAGTTCACAATAGCCGTTTTCACGACGGGCTATGTGGCGAATGCATCTAATTTGACCAAACCTGCACCAAATCTCTTTTACAGCAAATATATTCACAGCATGAATTTATTGCCGTTTTATTCGACAATAATGTCTGATGATATGCCAAGGCACATAAATATTAAATAAGCAATTAATGCAACCCTGACTGATAGCTACTAATAAATACACTGAACCTAATTTAACCAAATCTGCACCAAATCTGCACCTAATCTACACCAAATGTATACCAGATGGCCGTTGTGAAAACGACTAATGTGTTTACGGGCGAGCTCATAGTGGCCAGTTAGCTGTGAATAATTGTGAATAATTGGCTCAATGTTCGCCATATGTCCCTGTCCAGTGTCCGCATCTGTTGAACTCACGTATATTGCGTGGTACAATGAATTAATGGATATGTACTCAGTTATCGTACGAGTTGGGATATATAAGACCCATTTATATCCAGATTTTGATTGATATAAATTATTTTAAGCATGTGATGTCGAGACCTTATAGGTGTACCTAGTTCTAGTTGAAGTGGAACTCCCGTTTGAAACGAATAAGTATTTGTTCTTATTAATTTCATGCTGAGGTTCTTTTTTATCTCCGTAGAAGTTATGACAAATTTGGAGACCTATTTTTATCCATGCAACTGCTTGGCAATGGCCAAACACCGTGAAACAGCTCTTGATAATTCATGCAGGATGGTATTGTAAACAACCATCGTCCTGCATACCCTTTCATAAAGCCAAATTAATGACACTGTTTTCCTAAGTGACATTGTAAATAGCTGAAAAACAGTGCCGCTTCGCTTTTCCTTAATGACCTCCTAATGAGATAAAAAAGAGACCGTATTCAACCCTTGTGCCCTAAAATGGTGCTGGCTCATCTCCATTTTCCTGTCTCACATGTGCTTTTATGTTCCCTTGATAGCAGCACCATCTTAAGAGCATAACCATTGGCTATGCTCTTCGTCTTTCATAAATGCGGCCACATATATGCCAGTTTTAAAGCATCATTGTCTCAATTCTCACATGGCAGGGCGCAGGTGTGCTTGAGCCATTTCGTAATACAAACGTCACATGTGTAATGGATATGGTTCCCACTACTGTCTCTGCTCCCCGTGTCTCAGCTGCGCGTAGTCGATCCCGTGTCGGTGCCGTGTCCCCGACGAGTCGTGTACGCCGGGGGCACAGCTGCTCCCTCCTAGACCGAGCACTTATGACGTAACAGGTGACATGGCGACCATCCGCAGCTGGCTCAGCACGGTCCGCCGCGTCGGTCTCTCTTTAGGCAGCCCCGGTCCTGTCATGGCCTGTGACGTCAGCGAGACCCACTTCACCCCCCCCCCCCTCTCCTGTCTGTAGGTGGTGCCCCCTCCCCGCTCATGTCTCCCCTCGAGGACAGTGCCAACCGGCTGGGTCATATACTATGGATGCGGCCTTGCGGCAACAAATCAGCCCTGTCGTGCTCTCTGTTGTTTTGAGCGGCGTTGGCGGACGGCGTGTCATATTTCGCAGACAGGAGCTGTGTGTTTTGGCTTATATATGGCATGAATGAGCTCAGTGACAATGCGAGAAGTCTAGTGTTTCCTTCACGCATTGAAGTGAGCGTAAAACAATTATATAACTTCATTTATATTTCAAATTGAAAAATTGAGACCGTAGCAACGCTATTTTAACAATGATTTTATCCCAAAGCACCGCGGGCCCAGTTTCCAAGGAGTCCATCTCGACCGAAATGACCTTCAGTCGCTCCCATCCATAAAGTGGAGTTCTGTTTCCGGCGCGGGCCCAATGTCGTCGGTTTCATCATGGTGTGTGGGCTGTGGGCGCGGACGGACGGATCGGACGGGGCGGTGCCTCTGCCCCTGCCCCTGCCGGCTGTCGAGCCTCTGCCAACTGAGGCCTGCTTCACTGTCATGGCGGCCTTTGCTGACCGGACTGTGTCGGCTTATTGATGGCGGTCCGCGACCGAGCGAGCGTTGTCATGGAAACATCCGATTTGGTAATGCTGCCCGCCATCCAGGGATGTTTTGCTTTTTATTAGTTGAATGAGTATGCAGCTGAGTCAAATGAAGACCATCAATGACCAGTGAGAGGTCCCATATTGTCAAATTGCCTACAAGAAGTTGTAGGGTGAGCTTGAACGTATCGCTTAGCCTGCCGAATGTCGTATTGCCCATATCCAAATATAGATTCTCGCAACCTATTGAAAGCACAAATCATAAGTTTTTAAGTTTTTTTTTCTTTAAGTTTTCTTTATAGAATTTCTTACGTTTTAACTTTCATAGGTGTTCGCTTATTTAGCTGTGGTTGTTCCTCCACATTAAACCTACGAATGAATGCCGGCGAATTAAGTTTATTTCTATCCTGCTCGCCCCAAGGGCCCGATTAAATTGCTGAAGCCCGAAATCCTTACGTAAAGTACAAATAGCCGAAACCTTGGACAACATTTCCCTGAAAATGTCACGTCCGTTTCAAAAATAGTGGTAAATAGGAGCTACAATCGTCGATAATTCAAATAAGGACCTCTGAGAAAATCTTTGAGCGTCAGTCTGGAGCGCTTTGCGATGAGGATTCATAAAGGTCGCACGAACGTGACCCTCGAGAATTGGACTGCCTTGAGTGAAGCGATCGTCATCGATTTGAACATGAAATGAAATGAAAATAATTTTTACATTTCACAGGTTTCTGGCCTAGTGCGCACTTCAAAGTTCAATGGGTCCAGATAGATCCCTAAAAACAAGACGAATTGTAGAATGAAGCCATAGTTTTTCATTGGGTTGTCTATTCCAGCTTCAAATATCGTGTTTTTCAGTTTCAAAGCTGAACCTTCATATAAAAGCATATTAATAGGTGCGATTATACGTAAAAAAGACGTCGTACGGTACGAAAAACGTGCGTATTGGGTAAGGGCATGGCTCCAGATAGTAATATGGTCTTCTTCCTAATTATTTGGTAAGTAGATATTTCTGAATGTAAAATCCAAATGTCCTATCAATATCATAACATTTTTAAAGTAAGTACATAGCAACAACTATAAGCTGCGCTGTTGTTGTCGGCATCAGACAGAGAAATCTGTTTGAATCCTAGCGGCTTTGGCTGACGAGCTTTGAAGCTATCGAATAGCTTCAGCTTACAATAGTTAGTACCCAGCGGCAGCGTTCTCCGGCTTAGAGTCTCCACAAATGACAGTCGTCCGGCTCCCGCCCAGTAACTCTCGTGGCAAACTAAGCTGCTATTGGAATTAACAAGCAGTCGGGCACAGTGCTGTCTGGCGCCCCAATGAGAGCGCACTGAACCCTCGGACATTACTTCTCCTATTGGCAACTGGTTGACGTCAATGAGTCCATCGACATCGCGGCACGTAGCGGTTTGGATGGCGCTGGAGGTTTGGAGTGTGTCCATTCTTTATTGAAAGGGCATACGTTTAATTTATTATGCCAACCGTTCTTCGGATTATTAACTAGTTTGCTGAATCAAAAGCGGCGCGGGCTTATGCAACCCCCTTTGACTGGGGGGGGGGGGGTGGAGGTGTGGACATTCCTGTCGTAAAGTGCCATGAAATTAGTTTTCGAAATATGAAGAAATAAATAAATGAATGAGTTTGATGAATATTTTATGGAAATTGGCCTGCCATCACTCATCACTATTTTATCGCTGCAACCCTTTGCGATTCTCCGCAATCCTCTGCAACCCTCACCGACCCCCGCGATCGGTTGGTGCGTGCCCGGTCCCGGTGCCAGCTGCCTCGCATCACCGACACCTCATTGAGCGAATCGCCCGACCGCTGCCCGATCCCAGAGGTAAACAGGGCTATGTTCGGGCATACCGGTCATCCTCTCAGCCGCGAGGTCACATAGCGCTCGGTCGTCAGCCGCTGGCTATCCGCCCAATGGCATCTGTCCCCTCCCTCCCTCCGCTCGACACCGGTCGGTCTTGTGACATTGTTCGGCCTTGAACAAAGGAACGAGGTCCCGGCATGTTGACCCTAGACTAATGCGAGCAAACAGGTCAAGGTGATTAACTCGTTAGTGGTGTGAGGTGAGCCGCATCGTTTGACGTGTGCGAGCCGCGGTCGCCTCACGAACTAGACAGACGACCTTAGCACAGAGAATGCCGTCTCGTTCCATGACAGACCATGCTTGCTGGCACGGTGCCAGACCTTCATGTCTAATGTTGGTCACGTGGGGTGGCTCTGACGTCACAGACGCCTGCAGAGGTGTGTCGGCGGGAGGGGGAGGGGGAGGGGAGGACTGTGAGCGGCGACTCGGGGGTGGAACGGATCGCTGCCGGCGGGGGCCAGTAATAACACGGACCCGTCCCGAGGGGGCCGGGCCGGGCGGCAGTCGGCGGCTGCCCAATTCTGGCCGGGGCCGGGCCGGGCCGCCAACGACCTCAGACCAGACCTGTGTGAGTCACTCATGGCGGCAGTTCTGTGACATAATCTACGCCACAGCGGAAATCTCGTCATCAGGCTGAACTTCCAGACATTTTACGGTGGCAGAGTGACATGGAATGTCATCTACTAAATTGTATAAGCGTTAGTGGTGCTGAGCGGTGCGGTTCAGCACCTGTTACAATTATATAAGACCCAGCAGGCCGGGGACGGTGAGGTCAGTGGGTATAAGGAACCATGATTATCCCCGCAATTACTGCATTCCGTTTGGTGGTGCTTTTCGCCGACGCCGTGTACTACCGCAACCTATCTATGTAGGTCGTTACCCCCGTATCGGACGTGGCCTTCGTATATTTGCTGCCTTAGTATTTTGATACACGCGTTTTGTTTATCAGTATGGCTAATTTAACCCTCGCCCTGGCAGGGCATTTTTCATAACACGGCCTGGCAGGGGGGGGGGTCGATGCGACCCCCCCCCCTCGCGATTGGCTCCTATGGCACCTAGAAACACCAAATTTGGTAGGTAGGTGGGCCCCCTGGAGTTCTCGCCCCTGTGCAAATTTAGTTGCTCTAGGTCAATATTTAGGGGGGTTTTGGGGGGTATAAATGTAAAAATTTCACTAAAAACAGGTCACAAGTTTTTCGCTTATAACTTTTGATCTAATTAAGATAGAGCAAAAAGAAAAGCACCAGTGAACTCAGCACGTCAAGGCGCGTCGAATGATATACTTCTTAGCTTGCTTAAGTGTACTTAAAGTTTTTCTTAAATTTTAAGTAAACTTAAATTATTAAATTAAGTTCAAGTTAACCAAATTGCATCATATCGCATATCATTCGATTCGAGTGATCATAAGGAACACAATGATACAATTTTTTAAGCTCTAGCATCATTGTGTGCCAAGTTATTGGCATAAACGTCATTTGACCTCAGTTGACCTCATTTGACCTGACCCATGGATAAGTACACCAAACAAGGAAGCACCAAGTGACCTGCTGTTAATTACTGTGGTTTCAAAGCATAAAAGTGATAGAACGAAGCGGATATCTCCAGTATTTTCCGAATTTAGTATTTTCCCATAGGCTTAACATTACGACGTAATGACCTCTAACTGACATCAGGTCAGTGACCTAAAAAAACCCGAACTATATGTTATACAACTCGGTGAACTTAGCACATCCTGAAAGTTTGAAGGAAATCAGTCCAACAATGTGAGTTGGACAGGTGCAAAAAGAAAATTGAAATTTGACCATGACCTTGTACCGGTTTTTCTGACCTGGTGACCTGACCCAAGGTCACATGGACCTGAAATTTTCAGGTCATATGTAAAAAGGTTGCCCCATAAGCTGTGCCAAATTGGGCGGCGCTGCGCGCCGCCGTTTTTACGCTATCTTCGAAAAACCTTAGGGGGGGTCGCATCGACCCCCCCCCTGCCAGGGCGAGGGTTAAAATTTCAACATTGTTTTGTGTTGCTGTCAGTATGATAAGATCGATTGATTTACGCTAAAATTGTATAAGCTTTGTCTATCTATCTGAAGTTCATATTTGGTTACGAATATGATGATCGCTTATTTCACTGAGATCCGTTGACAAAATGCCGTTAAATACACACAAAATGCAAAAAAAAAAATTGTCCACTCATCACTCGTCTTTTTTGTGCTCGACTTTGTCTCCGAGCGAGGAGATTGATTTTAGCCACTGCCTCATTAGTGTAGAGGGCGAGGGCCTCCGACGTCTATTCTTAGCCCTGCCTCGCTCCCCTTATTCATCAAATGTCCGATGGCGGGCAAATGGCCACAGCGACCGCTGCTAATATAGGCCGATTAGAAACAATAATTTGCGGATATTTCACGATAATTTTATAAGATGATGTCGTGTATGGACTTCGAGATCCGGTTCGTGTGAGTGTCATCAAGCAAACCGAATGAAACCGAATTTTCGGCCCTGCATTGACAGCTGACACCAAGCTTAGTACGAGACCGTGACGATTCCGTATTTCAATTGTAGATATTTGTACAGATAAGCCTTATACCTATCTTTTCTGCTACTGTTTTCTTTCACGTCTCCTGTTGTGTTTAGTGCTGCAACGTTAACGCATCTTCAACTTTTTGTCGCCAGGTGGCATCACGTTCATCAACTGCTTCAGCGTCACGCTGGCGACCAAGGTGCAGAACGTCTTCACTGCCGCCAAGCTGATCGCCATCGCCATCATCGTCGTCGGCGGCATGTACTCTCTGGCCGAGGGTGAGTCCAATAGTCCTGTCTGTCAGTCCGTTGAGAGTTCAGTCTATCAGTCCGTCTTTCCTGTGAGTGAGGTCTGCCCCCTAAACCCGTACCCATCCACCCTGGGAAAGGGTAAGCGCTGACCTCCCAGTGCCCACATATGCATAATCGAGAGTCTTGTCTGACGACTGTCCGTTTTGGTGAGGTTTGCTGCAGTTTCAGGCTTGTAAGCGATTTAGCTCCGATTGAAACGATTCATATGCATTGGATACAGCCTTTGACTCTTGTGATGGAGTCAACTAAATCCCCTTTGCCAATTCAGACGTGGGGTTCTTGTTCCTAGATGAACTCGGTGTAGTTCGTCGCTTCACGTTGGCTTGGGCGAGGTGATCTGTCTAAATCTAAAATTGTAATGGCTCTGCACGGTAACGCAGATTTACGACGTCGTGCAGGGAAAATGGCGCCGCTGCGCTTCCTTCACTTAGTAAACTTGAAATGAATTGCGCATTGCACGTCCGAGAAACTCGCAACAAAGTTACGCCATGCGGCTAAGTGAACTGTCGAGTACGCCGTCTATTTTAATTTAACTTTTACGGGGTCGACTAAAGGACTTTACCTGTTGGCAGCTATCAACAACTTTATTTTAGGAAAGTAATGCATGATGATCATATCATGCTCTCTTGCCCTGCTCCTCGGTCAAAGCGAAACCATCATTGAAAAATGAGCTCGAGTCTACCCGTATTTATCTATGCGACTCTCCGGCGGACCGGAGCAAAGTCGGCTCTGTCCGTGTTCACGAATGCCCCTTTCCACTGCGTATGCTCTATACGATGGCGCCGTTATTAGCTATTATCGCCTTATGTAATATATCTGTTTCCTGTAGGCAACACGCAGTACCTGCGCCAGGGTTTCGAGCACACCACTAGTTCGGTGAGCGATGTGGCCACGGCCTTCTACAGCGGTCTGTGGGCCTACGACGGCTGGAACAACCTCAACTACGTCACAGAGGAGATCAAAAATCCGTCCAGGTCAGTCCGCAACGGTCAGAGCGAGAGGCTAGCGCTCTAGGAAATGGGCGGCGGTCTTACTCCTTGATGACTTTAATCGAGGTGATACCTTACCAGGTTTAGAGCTAAGGCGACATTTGGGCTTATGGTTTAACGCTCGTTTTTTCATGACTTAAATATAAAAAGAATAATATCATTGTACCTAACTATGCTTTTACTTTACATACGAGTATGACTCCGCAAGGCGGGCCTTGGCATTGACTTCATGTGATTAACTTTCATGGCGGTCGCTGCAAACCTTTTACGTACTCGTCTTACCTCAAACGCGACGTCTACAGCGCAAACTTTTCCGGCTGGCATGTCGTCTCGGCGATACAGTGCTACGATAGTCGCGTTTTCGAGACAGTCTGACCAAACTATGTAAGAAACGCTAATTTCTATGACAGCTTGGCACTGTGTTTCTCTAACGATAAGATCTCATCCCCCGCTGTCAGCGACCACGTGGTAATATGCTGACTCGCTTTGGCGCGCCAATTTCGCGCGGATGCCATTATAGGTGATTTCGTTTGTTGGCGCGTGTCACCAACCGTCAGGAGTGCTGTCAGACTGTCAGTCTGCCGTCATGGCAGATGGAATCAGCTCGGTGGCAGGTGCCTGATGACATTACGATTATGTCAGATATACAGGGATCACGTGTTCGCTATGCCCCTAATGTGCTGTCATTTGTCCGTCACTAAATCGATAGCCACTGATCGGAAAACTGACCAGCTCAAATCATATCATTTGGTGGCTACAAGGTACTGCTGTCAATTTGTATCGTGCAGGCATACAGGCAGTTATTCTCCCTCCATTTTCTTCCAATATGCCTGACATGGTTGAGTTCTGAGCATCAGTATTGTCTTGATTTATTGCTTCTGAATACTCAGCTTAATTGATTTAGCTGTTGTTTGTGGCTCCTGTTTTGTTTACTCAGTCCGTACCCCTTGACGTCCAAAGGCTTTCATCACTCGGACTAGGCTGTAGGATGATTATTCACTTGGTCTGTCAACCCAGAGCGGGACCGTTATAACTATAGCAAGTGTCCCGTTATAGGTCAGCCTCTTGAGGTCCTTCCGTGATGCAATGGCATTGGTCAACGGCTTAGAGTCTCTCAGCTTAAAGGTAGTGTGCCACCTTTGAAAGATTTCCCATTTTATTTTTCCTAGGATAAGAAGCTTCTGTTTTTACCTAATATCGCAAAAAATTCAAAAATGGGCCTGGAATAGTGCCTTTTTCGCCTAAAAGTTTATCGGTTTTTCGATATGTATAACAACTGTAGTGGGCTGACCTGCAAACAGACGTCGGCAACAATCGCGAATGCGGCGCACATGTGACAATAAGCAAAGGTCATTATAGAGTTACGACGTACGGGAATGAGTTATCAGCTGTCTAATCGTAGACAACACAATGTCGAGCCTTAAACTGTAAGCCTGTGTTGGTATTGTTTCTTTTATTTGGCTGTCGAACATTATTTATGGTTTGAAATATGATTTTATGTAAAATAATTGATATGAAAAAGCCGTCTCTTAAGTTATGACCCCATTTCATCACACGCAAGTGGCAGAAATGACAATGATCAGCTGACGCATTTTTCTTGGCCGAAGTCAGAGCGCGCGGCCCGACGCTCCACCACCGCACCACAAAGTATGAGCAGAAGCCGCGCCCAAAGCCAGGGCCCCGGTAACGTGAGGTAGCCGAGTCGGAGCAGCGTGCGCTGACCCAAGCCGGAGCCGCAGCTTTGGGCGCGGTCTACCGCATCCCCGCGGGCAGCCCCGGGCTATCACATGACACCGGGAGGACGCGCGGCCCCGGCTTGGGTCAGCGCACGCTGCCCCGACTCGGCTACCTCACGTTACCGGGGCCCTGGCTTTGGGCGCGGTCTACCGCACCACCTAACAGGCGTGTTCGAAACCGCAGGAGATGATGATGAACGGGTTTATCGAAACTTGATTGGATGAGCATATCGGTAATAGCGATTTCAGTGTGTGCATTTATTGTTCATAGTGGTGTGAAATGTGGTTGGGGTACGACCGACAACCCGTCGGGGCGAATTTCGCACTGGGGTACTCAAAATTTGAAGAATTTAAGACGTTTCCATGAGTTTTGAAGGTATGGATAAGTTCTAAAAATCCGGTTCTCCTTATCTGGGCCATTAACTCCATACGGTCCAGGAAAGCTGGCACACTACCTTTAAACTCAATTGAATAATCGGCCGATCCCGATTCCGCCACACTTATACTCATCCGCCTATTCATCATACGAGAGCATCCAATCCACCAGAGTGCTATTTCGTCTGTATTGTAGAGCGTAACCTTATCGCTGTAACACAGCATTACGATGTCGTGTCACACTCCACAGGAACCTGCCTCTGCCTTAGCCTCTGTATCATATAACGTAACCCCATCTCTGTAGCAAATCGTCACGATTTCGTGTGGCGCTCCACAGGAACCTGCCTCTGGCCATCATCATCGGCCTGCCGTTGGTAACCGCCTGCTACCTGCTGGTCAACATCTCCTACCTGGCCGTCATGTCGCCCATCGAGCTCCTCCAGTCAGATGCCGTCGCCGTGGTGAGTTGACAATGCTGGAGGCGATGCTGATGCTGTTGGTGGAGATGTTGGTGAATATGTTGTAGTTGTTGTTGGTGGTTTTGTGGGTGGCGGAAGACAGTGATGGTAGTGGTGATACTGGACGTGCTGAAGGTAGTGTTGGTGGTGTCGTTAGAGGCGATGTTTGCGGCGTTGCTGAATACTGATGTTGTTGACGGCATTGATGAAGGTGCTGTTGAACGCGCAATGCTGGTACCGTGGCTGCTTACGTTGCGGATCCTTACGTCATTGTGCATGCTGGAATGCCTTCTACCTGCAGTCAGTGAATGTGTGGCAGATGTTGGCTATGATGACGGATCACCTTTGATGGAGTTGTGCGTATGTATGGACTGTGGACATACTCAGGTGCTGCCATATCTCTCCACCTAAAAAACGTGTGCATTATCAACCATTATCAACCACTGCAAATTCTCTAATGTTGTTAGCTGAGTCTGTTCAGTCTGCAATAGCCGATCGCAATAGCGGTTCCCTGATCGATACTGCCCAGGCTTTTCGGTGAAATTTGTCTCAATGTTTCAGAGAGTAGATCTATGAACCCCGATCTCACGGTTAAATGGCATTACGACGTTCCTGACCTCTGCAAGCCAACTGGGACACTCAGGGTGGAGAGCGGAATTGGGAATCAATCTTTAAATGTGTTCGCAAAATCGCTCACTGACAGGCTTTTCAACATTCTCGTAGCGTGATGGCCGTCACAGAACCCATGAGGCCATCTAGCTGTTTAAGGCACAGTGAGCAGAATATGGTATCGTTAATGTTTTTGGTACTGTTATGGTGTCATTATGAAAAATGCACACATTAGACACCTGGCCATTTCCAAGCCATTAGCGGCTAAGTGTCAGGTCGGTCTACTCGCCGGCTCTATCGCGAACAACAGGCCGACCGGGGCTGTATAGTGGCGGCAGCGCCCCATTGAGACGAGCCCACTGCCGCTGAACTCCCACAATCGACGCCCCCGTCGATCGGACCGCCCGCTATCCGGCCGAGCCGACGCGCGCGTCCGACCGACGATCGTCGAGGCCGACGCTGGGCCGGGCGCGTCGTCATCGAACGCGATCGGGCGTGGGCACGCACCCACTCGACCGGGGCGCCCACTCGAGTGGGCTAGGTGTTTGCAGCAGCCTCCTAGAGACGACTGTGTTTGTCCGACATTGATCCGTGCTCCGTTGTATTGTCGGCTACATACCGACGTGAAATATGTACGTTCGTATATACGTCGCGTGGCATGACTGATCGCATACTGTCCGCTGAATGAGACGTCGTGTTAGTTGATGGACAAACTAACTGGTATCATGACATCATAAAAACAACGATGTAGCAGGTTTCTTGGTATAAACACAATAGCACAGCGTTCTAGCGTGATTGACTACCACAAGAAGTTGTGACGCAATACGTTTCTGACATCAGTCCACTGACTTGATTGGGGTATATGCCAGCCCCCTCCCCCTCTGACTGAAGTTGTTTCTCTTCCTCAGACGTTCGGTAATCGCATCCTCGGTGTAATGGCTTGGCTGATGCCTCTGGCAGTCACCATGTCCACTTTCGGCGCCGCCAACGGAACCTGCTTCACATCGGGAAGGTGAGCGGTGGCTTCGGCACGGCTCAGATAAAATGGCATGCGGACTGGTGCAGGGTCGCTAGGGCTGCTTGATGATAATTGGCAGTCCGCCGGGTTTTTGATATGGCAGACGGATGATGAAGCATAATGTGATGAGTGCGCTGTGCGATTTAGTGAAGTTAGACGCTCGCTAAAGGTCAGGCTCATTATACCCAACATATTGTCTATTATATTGGGTATAATGATCGGTATTGTCCAACATCGATTAACAACTCCGACGATCTAACTAACGCTTCGATTTGTTCAGCAGGGCATCTAAAATAATTAGAATAGTTAAATTGACTTCGCTTTATTTTACTTAACCCTATTAGTGGCAGGCTCCTGGCTACCCCATATTAGTGGCAGGGGGGGGGGGCTGTTTACGACCCCCCCCTTGATATCTCGAGATCTAACCGGCCGATTTTCAAAATTCAAACGGCATTCGATTTGGCTCAACGCGATCTACATTTCTAAAAAAAAAATAAAATTAAAAAATGTCAATAGGGGGTAGAGGGGGGTAAAAACGGGCAAATTACAGATACATTTTAGACTGTTTATCACGGCCAGGTTTCTGAACCAATCTTAACGCAACTTTTGCCGATCGATAGAGGATGAACCAGGAATTCACATGGATCCTAAAAATATGCATTTTCAAAAATCATAGGCGGATACAGATCATTGAGATTGGGGGTACACAAAAAGTATAGTAAATAAGGTTTTTGTTGGTACTGTTTCTAAAAAGGGTGGCAATGGTCTTGTTATGTTACAATTTTCTTATGTGAGAACGACTAAAATTGTATTGGTCATGCATGGGCGGTGTCAGGGCACCTATGTTGGGAGGTAAAAAATAACCCCCCTTTTTGGACGCCTGGATCCGCCTATTATAGCAAAAACGTGTCAAAAGAGGATGCACAATAACTTTGTATATGTTATCACATGATACCTTTCATTCACTGTTCGTAAAACTGGTGCAGCATCGTGATCTTCGCCCAAATGACTCGCTTCACGAATAGGACCCCCAATTCCCAGTGCTCTGGAGCCGCCCCTGGTAAAGTTATGAACTTGAAATTTTCAGGGAATGTGCCCAATTTAGTTTTAGGAAAAGTCAGAAAATTTCAGCATCGTAGCTTCAGCGGTTTCGGAGATATTCCCGAAAAACCTGAGGGGTGGATAAAAACAACCCCCCCCCCCTGCCACTAATAGGGTTAACATCAACCAAACATAACACATCAACCAAATATTGTATCGAATCGCGCAGGTTTTGGAAAACTTAATATGAGCAGTTAATCGACATATTTTTTCATTTAACACTCGTTTCATGCTAGAATACGCCGAATCCAAATATTTTTTCCGCTGACTGATATCCCCAACAATTCAAGGTCATTCTTATAAGCGAAACAAAATAATAATCGCACATACCCTAATCGTGCCCAATCGTTTCTACAACATTTCGCTACCCGTAACTGGAATGTATGTTGTGTGCGCACTGCGCATCCCCTTTCTCTCGAACTCATGCAGACAGCAATCACACCTCGCTCTTCAGTGACGGACACTGTATCCCCACCCCTTCTCCCCCTCCCCTTCTCCCCCTCTGGCCATCTGGATCGGGGTACCGCTGGGACTCGGGCACTGAGCGCAGCGGCCGGCCGTGTCACATTACTCGGTGACATCGGGCCGGGTGTCGGTTTACGGGCCCCGCCTCCAAGTGCATGTCGCTGACGCAGCCGACAGTCGACACTCCCGCTCAATGACTGCAGGAATGCAGCTCGACTGATGCCTATTAGGCGTCAGACGTGGGTCAGATTCATCTCAGGGAAACTTGTCTGTGGAAAGTATGTAGGAATTATTTGGGACATCATGTTCATACGTACAAATTTAATATGCCTTCAAGCGGTGAGGTATTCACTGTTGTAAATTTATCTAGAATGGTGCGATATCTATGGCCTGGTTTGGATCAGGACCACACCACTAGCTGAAGCCAGCGGCTAGGAGTGTCCAGTGGCCGATGTCAGTGCCACTGACCTAACCAGTTGCCGCTGGGCAAATCCGGTACGATCCAGTGGGCTGCCCGATGACAGTGCTGGCTGGATGTGGTTGTCATGTCTGGCATCATCTGAGCTCAATGAAACTACTGCCTCGTATGTAATAAAGTGCATCCCTATCAGGGAACAAGGCTGAGGAAGCTTTTGCGTTGATAATCATTATTCAATATGCATGCTGTATTTAATGTCAGGTGACATGTATCTGACACGATTGGCTGTCGGCAGGCTGTGCTACGCCGCCGCTCGTCAGGGCCATCTGGTGGACATCCTCAGCTACGTCCACGTCCGCCGCCTCACCCCGTCCCCCGCACTCATCTTCAACGTGAGTCGTCCGACAAATTGAGAAAGCGATAGATGTAATTTGCTTTAGCACCTTGCATATGACATCTGGCTTAAAACATTTTTATGGCTGAAAACATTTATTTTTGGTTCAGCAATGTATCTATCGCGCTGTTATTTACGAATTTATAATGTGGCCGCAAGTTTCTCGAACGGCATCGGTTCAAATGGCACAGGGAACGTTGGGCGTCACTGCAGTGCAAACTATGCTGATCATTACACTCGCCAGTGATCTGCATCGGTGAAGGTGTCCCGCAGGCGCACTGTGTGTCCACAGTCATCTGAATATGTCATCAATGATCCATGACCACGTTCTGTCAATGTGCGTCCACGAAAAACTACATTTTCACAATATCCTGCCGCTGTTTTTTTTTGTGTGTGCGCAGGCCATCATCGCCATTGCCATGATCGTGGCCGGCGACATCGGCAGCCTGATCGACTTCTTCAGCTTCACCGTGTGGATCTTCTACGGCATGGCCATGGCGGCGCTGATCGTCATGCGTCGCACCAAGCCGGACGCGCCGCGCCCCTATAAGGTCGGTCAGATCGGCACGGGCTTGGCACGTGGCACGTGCGGCGCGGGAGGGGCTGAAAAGGCCGTAGCCTGGGTCTCGGTGATTGAGTTGCATTATTTTGGTGGCGTAGATGCATTTGCGGTTACCGAGATGGTTGTTGCGGGCAATGTGGCTGGTTGGGAGATCATCGTTTGGCTGGTTGGTGCTGTGTTTGGTGTTTTTTGGGTGCGCTGGTGCGTATTTTATGCGGTGTTTCGCTGCCAATTGTTTGTTTGCCCGGTGGTTGACCGCAAGGTCGCTGCCTGTGTGTCCCACATTGGCCCGTGGTTCTTTCAGGTGGCATGGCCGACTGGCTGTCCACAGATTCGACAGTGTGCCGGCGTCCACCGTCTGAGCGCGCATGCGCAGAGCGGGCGCACCCGGTAACTAATTGTCCCTATTATGTAGCCACTTTTCAGGGAAGGAAGAGTGTGCAGCCTTTTCGTGAGCTTCCTTCATAACACTATCAAAAGACAATGCTTCCGCGGCACTAGATGTGCAGCGGAAATCGTATTTTTTTCTGCACTCTGCCGCAGGAAGAGAATATTAAAGTTTTATTAGATATGCTTCTATAACCGAACAATTATGGCTTGACCAAAACAATAACGTTGGTCTGACGGACTTTTACTCTTCAATGAAGCCTAGCAATGCAGCATGCTATTTTCTTTGTTTTTGGTATTATTGCCTGTTTTAATAATAAAGTAATTATTTCGAAATTGAATTTTGATCCACGTCACAAGTTTTTTATCGCTTGGAGTTTGGACAAAATGCCTGAGCCCTAGAAATAAGGCTTGTGTTCGTTCGGCCATGTCGCGCAGCATGCAGCCTGCGCGTATAGGGTGTGCCGCCGTACAGCTGTGTGCTGCGGCACAGCATACGCATCAGGCGGCTAAGCCACGCAGAAGGCCGCGCGTAACAGGCAATAATACCTGATGCGGAGCACGATATGCCATACCGTTTAGTTATAGCTTCTCAAAACGAATCAAAAGACAATTGTTACTACTAAAGTTAGCCACAGCGTTACAATTACAGCACATTATTTAATATTCAGTCATATATCATACGCATAAAACTGCCTTTTTAATATGAATCAATTTACCTCTATGTTTAGAGCCAGTAGGTATAATAATTATTCAATGTAAAATTTAAATATTTATCAATTTGTGAACTTTCAATGTGAGTTTCGGAATGAAACTTACAAAAGGTTTTCATAACAGGGAGTTAACTATTTGAAAGACAAACTTTTATAGCATCTTGGCCATCGTGGAATGAAGGAACATCACTACAGAGAAAGAATAATGATACAATTTAAAAAGAACACACACAATTATTGACTTGGGCGATTATGACAGCTAATAGTCGCTGCTGTTGAAGGTGGTCGTTAATTAGAATAATACAGATCGTTGAGCTTTACATATGCCTACTTTTTATACTTACAAACTCTTAAAATTCGCACTCGCAATCGTTCAAAGTCAAGACACTGAAAGTGACTAGTGACACACTGTAAATATTCTAAGACGATAAGAACAACACATCACAATATCCTAAGAAGCATCATCCAGACACCTTCCTAGATGGTGCCGCCGTCTCTTTTCCGCCCACGGGCTAAGCCCGTGTCCATCTCTCCCAGCACGCGGCGCCGGCTATAGTCCCTCTCTCCGAGACCGGGCCACGCGGAGCTGACTGAGCGGCGTCCCGTTACAGGTTCCGATCGTGATCCCCTGGCTGGTGCTGTTCATGTCCATCTACCTGGTGGTGGGACCGATCATCGACGCGCCGCAGATCGAGTACCTGTACGCGCTGGGCTTTGTGCTGGCCGGACCGCTCGTCTACATACCATTTGTCCATTACAAGTGGACGCCGGCGTTTGTTGGTGAGTTGGTGTGGGCGGCGAGATTTGACAGTGGAGCTGATCATGGGATGGAAGATGGAGTTGTTATATGATTTGTATTATTTGTCGCTTTTTATGTACATTTATTATTGTCTATATTTATATATAATGTTCTTGGTCTGTTACTATATAATTGGTCTGTTATAATATAATAGCACAATATAAATTGAGACATTCGATATCTGTATAGTCGTATCAAAATCAAATTCGTAACAAAAAAAGGACAACGAATAAATTAGCGATTTGGGTATCTCATGTACCGCCAATAATGCTTATAAATGACGGATTTGCATTTGTTGAAATGGTATGTTATTTGATTCTCTAATTTTGCTAAGCCTATGAGTTTCGAGTTTGATCCGAACTTGGACCTGGTTTGTTTGTGATGTATCTTATTTTAACAAAGGGTGGCTTTTGGTAGCATAAAGAAGTACGATGTTGTGTTGGGAGGATAATATTGCGAGTTATATACCGGGATATATTTAAATTCATTATTCATTATTCAAATTCACCCGTTTTCTGTTTATTGGTAATATAATGCATTCTTCATTGAAATTCAAAAGTAAGTGTTAGGGACTGGTAATAACTGTATCATTGTTGACGACTGATAGCATGAGCTCTCATATAATTCTGACAAATGATCTTACTTGCAATTTCCGTTCCCACAGGGAAGACGACCCTTTTCTTCCAAAAGCTGCTGGAGGTCGTCCCGACATCTTACGACGACTAGTCGGTACCACCAAAGTCGTCTGGAAAGACTGACAGTCGCTCAAAGTGACCCAGACCTCGTTGTCAGCGGCGACAACCGGCCTAACCAGACGGCAAGCGTAGAAACAGCGACCCAGCCTGTTTTACCATCACGATACAGAAGAATGAACACGGCGATCGAGAGTTAAGCGATGGCAGAAGATCAGAACAGCTAGATGGCACTGGTGTACGAAAGTAGGAACGGGCAAGCTGCAATCTCAATCGTGTGAACGTCTTTCATTGCTGCGTATTCTTCTTTTGTACGTGCACGCAAGGTGACTAGTTTCTTTTGAATTAAGTGTGCTGGTGTGAAGTCGGTTTGTTTTTCCTTTGCTTCCTTGTCTCGCACTTTGATCCTTTATTTTCTTGCCAGAGGTTGATGCTGGTCAGAGCGTGAGGAGTCAATGCTAAGAGGTTCAGTTGTGCCAATAATTGGCACAAATCGTGCGATAAAGCATACCAATTAAAGATCATTTGTTGCTTTTACCTTCTTAACCAGCTTTGAGCTTACCAATTCATTTATGGTAAGTTCGCATAAAGATCATCATCATACTCTACTTTTACTGATGCCTTTTATGATAACCAAAGGTTTGTGTTCAGTTCTTAAAGACGCTATGGTGTTTTTTTATTGAAAGTAAACTTGAGTTACCGGAAAATTTTGCTTAAGTTTGGTAATGCCATAGCCACAAAAAAGTCAAAATTCCTTATGAGCGACAGTGGCTCGACTCACCCGAATGCGTAAAAATAACAAGTATGTTGTTCTGGGCCCCACCTATTACAAAGTTAGCAGCCAGATTTGCCTAGGAAGAGAAGACGGCTCTCTCACTACTGAAGATCAAATCATTCCGAGAGGCAAGCCGTCAGAAACCATCAGAACGTAGCCTTCGAGTGGGCTACTGTGAGCTCTGGATATCCTAATCGGTAGCACCCCACGTTATCCTTGCTTATAGCCACTGTGGACAGCAGTGAGCTATCCTATGATACCAAAATCGCGATTTACTGACCTGTTTTATGCTTCTGAATCGACGATTTTACAGAAGATATAAATTGTTTTTTTTTTTAAATATTGTGCGTGACAAAGCCTCTTGTTTCATCCCTAGAGCGAAAAATAGTATTAAAAAATTGTATCCGCATGCTGATGCCAAAACCACCGCACGATTGTCGATTCAATCTTATAAAACTGACCCGGCGGCAGCGGTATATGACCACTCCTCTCCCGTGTGACTGAGGGCACCCAGTGTGGCCGGCACGGCGGACAGAGGAACCAGGAGTGGGGTCCACCCGGACCCGCGGGGGACTCTGCGGACCCAGGTGGGACCCGCTCGAATGATTCTGACCGCCGTTTGGCAACGCCGGGCTCCCCCGGCCAGCACGGATTGGGAAAGGACGTACCTTGCCGCCGGTCACCCCTCGTAGCAGCACTTTGTTATATTTTGTATTGTTGCTCGAGTATTTTTGTACTCGGAGGATGGCAGTGGGCTAGCGGCGGCAGGTCGCGGGGAGTGCAGAAGAGGCGGCAAAGCTCGATGTTGTGCTCGTGGGCCGTGCTAGTAGTGACTGCTGCGCCTTAATGGCTAGATGTCTTCGCAACGATGGCAGTAGCAATCGGATGTCTCTGCTACTCTGTGCTATTCGCGTTACATTGTCAATGTATAGGAATACAGGGTGCTGAGCAAGGCTGGCTGCGCTCCAGAGCCGATATATCGTACTAGTGTGACTTTATATATCTTCTGTTGTTCTGTTGTCTATTATCTACTTTACATGGCTCCAAAAAGGATCATTCCCGAGCCTGAAACTGATGATATCGTTAGAGACTTGCCTCCTTTCTAGACGAGCAAAGGTTAGATCAGTTTGCACCGCTGCCCCTTTCCCCGGTAGTTAGTTTTGTGTGTGCGATCAGCGGTAAACGGGACTGCTGCGGTCGAACAGTCGTATACCCTTGCGACCAGTTCGGTCCCACTGGCCGCGACCGACCGAGAGTGATGGCGCCGCGTCGCGCTGAGCCGTGCTGCGCTCCACTGTAGATGCGATATTTAGCCGTAGTAAGGTGAGACGATCCCTGGGTTGTGTGGGCTCAGAGACCGTATGAGAGTGTGGAAGAGGAAGGTTTGTGTGTGTCGGCTGCTGATCATGTCGACTCGCTGAATGACTGATGATGTGACGCTGTGGAAGGGCAAGCGTTGATGTGAGAGGAGACTGAAGGCGTATATGTAAAACCAAACATTTATCCCACCGATTCCGCACGTAAAACTAATATCAGCGACACCTACTGCTAAAAAACGCGACCGTCGCGCAGCAGGACGTGACATGTGCCGAAGTGGCACCTGCCAAAGGCACCAGCGTTATATCTGATGTTCGTTACACCACAGAGGAAATGGATGTGAGGTAATTGACGAGGAGAGCTGTGCAGCGATGTTTTGCGATGATGACTGGTTGTTCGGCAGCAATATGGCGGGGCGTGCTGTGAAGTAAAACTGGCATGGCTGCGGCAGGGTCGTCGCTGATTAAGATAGCATTAAATATGCTGTTTGTTATTCAATAAACGTGTGAATCGAGCGGTTGTGTGTAAATGCCTTCAGTGTCCGAGAATTTTTGGATATTGCAGGATCAATGACATCGCTTATGCAACAATTAAACCAACAGTCGATTGTAGGTATGGGTTGGCACGGTAACATAAATCATGGCTAAAACAGACTGACTTCAATTCGAACTCTTCTTGGGATTTATTGGAAGCATGTCGCGTTAGTCGAGACATTCTTTACTTACCTACCCTGTCTCACATTCGAATTTTGAGGCCTTTTTAGACTTAAGTTCATGATGATGGGCAACGAATGTCGTTTGTCGCACTGAATTTCAGCACTTCTTCCAGTCGGGTTCCCTCAAGCCAGGTCACCTCCATCTTACGTATCCGGTATGTGGGACGAGCAGCGTCGGCGGCAGCGACTTATGGTCGCACGGGGTCCGTCTGCCCCCCCCCCCCCTTGCACCGACTCTGCCGGGGCCGACCGAGGGTGGTATCGATCGCCGGCGGCTGGCTGCCCGCTCCGTGGCGTCACTGTGCTCCTGGCCAGAGAACGTCGCAGGCGACGGAACAGCGCACACCTGGCCTCACATCTGTCGACACGGCACAGTGAGCTGGGTTTGACGGCGGACGGAGGTCGTGGTGGTCAACTTGACTCGCTGAGGTGAAGCTCTGGTGACGGACGGAGCGGCGGCGGCCAGGAGCGGCGGCGGCGGTCGGCGCGCGCAGCGCAACATGAATCGCGACTTGGGAGCGGGGCCGGGTGTCCGCTGAGAGTGCTCCGATGAGTGCCCCATGGGTGCCGCACGGTATGAGCGCGGGCCGCGGCGGGGCACCTGCAGAGTGACGCTGATGTCAGACCGGCTCGGCTTCTGTGCGGCTCTCCTGTTCGCCAGCCTGGCTTCAGGTGAGTGCCTATGTCACTGCGGTCCTGATCTGTGCTCCCAATTTAACGACATTGTGCGGCCCCTTTTTGTTGGGGATAAGAGTTTTCTTTACTGTCGATCATGGGATTCCAGCCTGCAAGTGAATGCATTAGACAATGGGCGTTATTTTCCTTCCATTCTTTTCTCGTATCAGAATAATTTCAGTTATTCATGTTGACGTCATTTGACGTGACTCGTTCGCTGGAGCCTGATTTTATTGACAGAAGTTCCTATACTGCCAATTTCTACTTACTTCACTGTCAGTTAGGTACTGTCAGTTCCATTACTGTCCTTTACTCATTAATGCCTTTGCTGTGTCCTTTACTGCAACCGTCTATTCTCATGTGACCTGCCCCGGACAGCGTCTGACCTGATGTGACCTGTCCCAACCCGCCAACATCATCTGACCTCCTGTGACCTGCCATGAGTCATGCGGCCATGCCTGACCTCAAGTGACCTGCCCCGTCTCCATGTCAGTGACGGCAGTTCAGACGGCTGACCGCGCGCGCTCCACCGACAAGCCGCTACTCTGCTACACGTGTAGCTCCAGAAACAACTCCAGCGGCGCTGTCTGCGAGAACGGCACTCTCATCCAGCAGATGCCGCCGGACAGTGGGTGGCAGAATCAGTGCGGCGCACAGCACACGTCCTGTATGGTGAGTAGAGCGCACAGCACACTCCTGTATGGTGAGTATAACACACAGCACACGTCCTGTATGGTGAGTAGAGTGCAGAACCACTCCTGTATGGCGAGCAGAGCGCAGAGCACACTCATGTATGGTGAGTAGAGCGCAGAGCACACGTCCTGTATGGTGAGTATAGCACCCAGCACACGTCCTGTATGATGAGTAGAGCTCACACAGCGCATTCCTGTGTGGTGAGTATAGCTCAGAGTGCACGTCCTGTATGGTGAGTATAGCTCAGAGCACACTCCTGTATGGTGAGTAGAGCACACTGCACACATCCTGTATTGTGAGTAGAGCACACAGCACACGTCTTGTATGGTGAGTATAGCTCAGAGCACACTCCTGTGTGGTGACTTCCTAAAGCTCAGAGTGCACGTCCTGTATGGTGAGTATAGCTCAGAGCACACGTCCTGTATGGTGAGTATAACACACAGCACACGTCCTGTATGATGAGTAGAGCTCGCATATAGCGCACTCCTGTGTGGTGAGTATAGCTCAGAGTGCACGTCCTGTATGGTGAGTATAACACACAGCACACGTCCTGTATGATGAGTAGAGCTCGCATATAGCGCACTCCTGTGTGGTCAGTAGAGCGCACAGCACACGTCCTGTATGGTGAGTATAGCTCAGAGCACACTCCTGTGTGGTGAATATAGCTCAGAGCACACTCCTGTGTGGTGAATATAGCTTAGAGTACACTCCTGTGTGGTGAGTATAGCTTAGAGTATACGTCCTGTATTGAGTGTAGAGCGCACAGCACACGTCCTGTAGGTATAGTGTATGGTGACTGGCGAGTACAGCGCAGAGCACACTCCGTGTATATGGTATGATCACTCACGCCTCAGTGTATGGTGAGTGTGATCACTCACGTCTTACTGTACCTATGGTGAGTGTGATCACTCACGCCTCACTGTATGGTGAGACTGCAGCACAGCACTCTGCATAGGTATACCCGTAGGTAGGTATATGGGGACGAGACCTAAGGAGCAACTCGAGTCGAATGATGGTGGCCGTCCAGTCTAGAACAGGGGTTTTCGGTTATGGGGGGGGGGGGGCATATTTGTGCGTCACTAGGATAGACATGACGTCTATGAGTATCGGAGTGCAAACATACAGGGATCTGAGTGTAAAAAAAAAACTAATGCCTAATAGCCGTTTTCACGACGGCCATCTGGTACACATTTGGCGCACATTTGGTGCAGATTAGGTGCAGATTTGGTCGAATTAGGTTCAGTGTGTCTCTTAGTAGCTATCAGCTAGGTGTCATTAATTGCTTATAGGCCTGCTTTGTCATATTATGAGAGAGTATCATCGATTAAAACACGGAAATAAATTCATAAAATAAAGATATTTGCTGTAAAAGAGATTAGGTGCAGATTTGGTCAAATTAGGTGCACTCGCCGTATAGACCGCCGTGAAAACGGCTAATGCCACTTCACTTCATCCTCCACTCATGGGACGAATTTTGTTTGTTTGTTTTGTTGGGTTAGGCCCTTTCGGTCTGACGAGGCTATTTCAGTGCCGGACGAATGATAGGAATTAGGGGGGGGGGGAATTGGTCTGGGCAGGCACCCTAGAGAGTCGCCGGGGCTGAGCCCGTCCGAATGGACAGGCCGACCAGCCCTCAAGCACTCTCTAAGTCTCTGCAACCGGCTACGGGGTGCGCTCCCTCGGGAGCAGCGGTGCCGCTCCGCCTCCAAGGGAGCAGCCCACATGAGAAAAAGCTGCCTGTCCAGCCCGGAGTGAGGGTTGCGGCGTGGAGGAGAAGGGATTTGAACGTCCTTAGGAAGGAAACGACAGACGGGTCGCATTCAAGGGACGAATCACGAACAACCGTCTCTCATACCGTCTCTCCCTGACGATTTCCGTCTGTCTTTCAGGTGCAAGTCTACAAGACGTCAAGCACTGCGAACGCATCCGCAGCGCTAGTGGAACGCATTTGGTCGGTGGAAAGACAGTGTGCAGAGGACTGCGATGCCGGCTGCCTTGTGGTGGGCGAGCGCACGAAAATCATAAAGTGTGTCTATTGCTGTAGCGAAGACTTGTGCAACTTCGCGGACGGTGCTGCCAGCTCGCGGCAAGCTGTGAAAGCTCTGTTATGTGTGGCGCTACTAGCGCTGTGGCTCGTGGTGAAATAGCGATGAAGAGTGGATCTGCGGTGGACTGTAAGTGAAATGATGATTTTGGTGAAGGTAGAGCTGTTGTCTAACAGGCGTGTTTCGTTTTTACAACCAAGGAGAGACGCTTTACCCGGAGAGGTTTCTTTCTAACCAAACCAACCCAACCTAACCTAGACTAACCCAACCTACAACCTACCTATACCTATACCTACCTACCTACCTACAACCTCCAAGCCTATCTACCTACAGACTACAACCTAAATACCTACAACCTACAAACTAAAAACTACAAACCTACAACCTACGAACCTAAAACCTACAAACTTACAAAGGGCCAAAAGTAGGTATCTGCGGGTAGCAGGCTGCGAATCCTCGACCTTTGAATTTTGAGGCAGGCACTTTAACCACTAGGTACAACACGCAACAATGGCTGGCGGCAACAAGATGTTTGACAGTTAAAAATGACAACGCGGTATTCGCCGGTTAGCGCCTCTCCTTGGTTGGAAAAAGGAAATGAGCTCTTGACAGGGACACCTGTACCTAATTGTACTTGAAAATGTGCAAGGTGTTGTTGGACTGATTTCTTAGTTTTTGTTATCGCCTTCCTTTTGCGCACCTCCTTCCATTTGGGCGGTGTAGCTGACTGCTGTGCTGTGCGCATTAGCTGATGGCCATGGCTGATAAAACCTAATTTTGATGGGAAGCATGGTTTCAAGTTTTAACTGACAAAGATGCATTGACATGTCCAATGCCGCCCTTCGCTATTTCATTTGACCTCTTTTTCGTAAGAGTTTCATTTTCCCCGTTTATTTGTTTCGTAAGAGACATTTAGTGGCATATCATGGGTGGAGCTTTTCCAGGGAAGTTGGTGAGGCAAAACGTCGTCGAACTAGCAAGGTCTGATTGTCAGGTTGAATAAAATGTCGCACTGCATCAATTCCTATCATTACAGATACGTGATTTATATCACACAGATATTCTTAAGTTCCTTAGTTCGAAAAAAAGATTAATTTCCAAACCGACAAAGTCCTATATAAATCAGCTGTAGTTGGTAAGGACTGCCCCACCAACTGTATATGGAAGCATCGCCCTGTTTGAAATTACAGCCGGTGACCCAGCAATGGCGTTCGAGAACTCTGACATAATGTTGAGAAGCGACCAATAAAAGTGTTAAAGTTGTGCTTCAAATTTCCTTTATCAGTATCAGTACCTATAAAGTTGTTTTACGATAATGTCAAGGTAATTTACTTATCAACTTATCTAGGCTATTACCTAATATATGAAATTATTCTGACGGAAATGTGTCATTGGGATATTGGTAGGACTAGGTATTTCTTATTTCAAGCGTTCCAACATTTACCTATGTCTATTTCGGGGAAAAAATGAACAGCACAACTGAGCTCGTAATATGCATTTAGCACATGGGTGCCTAATTGAAAAGGGATTTTCATTTATTAGTTGTCGAGTACCTATTGCCGGGATTTTTAGCAGGACAGAATTCGTCGACCATGCTATACCTACTTAATTCACTTTTCATGTGTATTTTCTGTCACAATCGGTACCTACCTATGTACCTACCGACTTTGTACTCGAGACATTGCTTTGTAAATAAACGAGGGCTAATAATGTGTACTGTTCTTGTGCGCGGGCGAGTTACGTGGTTATTAACCGTTTTCACGACGGCCATATGATATCACATTTGGCACCCATTTGGTCAGATTTGGTGCAGATTTGCTCAAATTAGGTTCAGTGTGTTTCTCCGTAGCTATTAGCGGGTTGCGCTAATTGCTTACCTATAGGTATGCCTTCTTTGTCATACTATCAGACATTATCATCGACTAAAACACTGAAATTATTTCATAATTTGAAGATATTTGCTCTAAGAGACTAGGTACAGATTTCGTCGGTACATTTAACAGATAACCCGTCGTGAAAACGGCTATTGTGTGATCAGTTACCGCACTATTACACACGTCCCCACTAGAGTTGCAAAGTTTTCCCAATGGGCTGCTACCGGCACCGCCCCGCCCCACAAACATTTTCTGAGATACCGGCATGCTACCACGCCTCAAGCAAAAAAAAACGCCAAATTACCGGCATACTAAAAAACCTGCATTCTTGATTTTGGCTTACCCCTACATGAGATGCCACATTTTGGCAATTTCAGTAACCGCCCCACCCAACAGCCACCCATTGTCCAACTTATTACAATTCAATAGCCTCTTAATGTCCAAAGTTTGAATCATATGCTGATAATTTTTTTTGTGCAAAATCAAAAATACCGGCATGCTACCGGCAAGACATGCCAGATACCACGAAAAAACCTGCGGTAGTGAAAAATTACCGGCATGCCGGTAGTGCGGTAGGGAAATTTTGCAACTCTAGTCCCCACCCTTATCACGTGCACCGACGGGGGTCTGCGCCAACTTCGCACCGACGGGGGTGGCGGATGACCGCCCCCACCCCCCTGAGGAGATCTCGAGAACGAAGCCAGATAGCGACAAGCAGTAAACGGCATCGGATACGCACGGTCAAGGTCTACAATTTTTATACAGGTCATTTTCAGGTCAGGTCAAAGATGACGTCACAGGGGTCGAAAAACTCAAAATGGCGGCGCTAGATATGGAGAGAGTTTTTCTCGAATAACTTTCGAATTAGTCAAGATAGGAACAAACTAAGGGCATCGTCGTAATCCTCTCGTCAATCCGCATCGAATGATATATATGATATATATATATATATATATATATATATATATATATATATATATATATATATATATATATATATATATATATATATATATATATATATATATATATATATATATATATATATATATATATATATATATATATATATATATATATATATATATATATATATATATATATATATATATATATATATATATATATATATATATATATATATATATATATATATATATATATGTGTGTGTATAAGCAGGCAATATATCTTCTTTGAGGCAAGTTTGGTTGAATACGATCGCGTATTTGTTTTTTATCACTTTCTTTTGAAGCTTTTCTTTCTTTCTTATCACTTTCCGGTCAGTTTCTGGCAGCTGGTGTAAAGTATCTCCAATGTTCATACATGCATTATATTGATTTACGTTTTGCGACGCGTTTCGAAGTACTCACTTCGTCATCAGGCATTTACACTTTACACTCTCATCACATTTAACACTTACATTATATCTAAGTTACTTCATACATTTTTGTTGACCTTAAAACAAATGCGATGTGACCTGTCAAAATTCAGTGCACGGTTGTTCGAATCTAGTTCGAAAATTCAAACGTGCTGCTTCCATCATGCAACATCTCCATCTACTACCACCGATCTAGCAGATACTAACGTATCAGAATGAACGAAATGTCTCGTTCACTATACACTGAACAGTCCCCTCCCCACACACACACACACACACACACTTCACCATCACCTCCTATCCTGTCAGCGTGATCCGTCCCCTGTGTTCGCGCTGATCACACATGGACGGGCAGTGTTCTAGGATGTAGGCGGCCTCGAGGATCCTCAGCTTCCACATGTTATTCTCCCTGTCCAAGATGCTTGTGTTGTCCACCATGTCCTGTCTTGTGATGCGCTCACCGTGGGCACGCTGGGAGTGTTCAGCTGGACCACCCGCAGACAGATGGTATGAGAGTCGGCGGGATTTTGATAACGTAGTGAAAAACAGAATACTCAACAAGCTAAACAAGTTGTATAATGGCCAAGTATTTCTTCCAGATAAGTCGGTATCATTCGTGAATCTTTCAAGTAGACAGCTAAGTTCAGACGAAAAGGAGTTTCTTGACCTTGGCCTGAACGTACACCTCGGGACAAAGTTTAATAAATGTAGAAAACTCACGGAACTGGAATTGGTACATCAGTCGATTACAAAGCTTGAAACACGGGGTCAGGTGGACGTGAACCCAGACCTACGACCGCAACTCCTAGCCGAAGCTACAAAACGTAGAAATTTCAAGAAATGTGAAGTCTTAAGCAAGGATCTGGAAGAAGCTGCAAAGGCACTCAGAGAAGACGAGACCATTGTCATCCAGAAAGCTGACAAATCCTCAAGCTACGTTATTATCGACAAAACAGAGTATCTTCAAAAAATCGAAGATATCTTGACAGACAAGTCTAAGTTCAAGAAGATCAAGAAAGACCCTACGAATGAATTGAAAAAGAAGGCAAATCAAGTAATCGAAGCCGCAAATGCAGTCGTAGACGGGGAAAAGTTTCAACCGATTGTGGGAGATTTCGCACCAGGATATCTATACGGAACGGTAAAGACACACAAAAACAACAACCCACTGCGACCTGTCATCTCACAAATACCGACACCAACCTATCAGCTAGCCAAACGTCTGAACTCTCTACTTACCCCATACATTCCGGTCCAGAACACGCTGAAGTCGAGCGAAGAATTCCTGGAAATTATCCAATCGAGTCAACCAGCCGGGATTCTAGCATCTCTGGACGTGGAGAGTTTATTCACGAACGTGCCCATCAATGAAGCCATCGACATCATCACGGAGTATGCTTTTAGCCATGATAGTCTACCACCACCCAGGGGCCTATCACCCGAGCTTCTCAAGAAAATGCTGCGCATTTGCACCATGGAAGCCCCCTTCAGATGCCCATCAGGGAACCTGTATCGTCAGATCGACGGCGTTGCAATGGGGTCCCCACTTGGGGTGCTCTTTGCAAACGCATACATGTGTGCGGTGGAGGACAAGGTGCTCTCCAAGCTGGACAACAAGCCTGCTTTCTACAAGCGCTACGTTGACGATGTGTGCCTACAGGTTGAAGACGCTGAAGCTCTAGAAGTTGTGAAGAAAACATTCGAAGACAACTCCGTCCTCAAGTTCACGTACGAGATTGAAGAAAGAAGCAGACTCCACTTCCTTGACGTTGACGTGGACACAGCACAAGGAGGCAAGTTTGTCACGCAAGTGTACAGGAAGCCAACTGACATCGGCCGTTGCATGAACGCTCGCAGCGCGTGCCCCAAACGCTACAAGACTGGCATGATACGCACATACGTGCGCAGAGCCATGACACACTGTAGCACATGGGAGCTAGTGCACCAAGAGCTTCAACATGTCAAGCAAATGTTAGTAAACAACGGCTACTCCTGTACAGACATTGATGCCGAAGTCAAATCAACACTGGACAAATACCAAGCGAGACAGTCACACACCAACGGCAGAGAAATGACAGGTGAAGACCAGCCCAAACCCAAGTCTCAAGTTCACAAGCTGTTCTACATGAACCAGATGAATGAGGCCTACCTGAGTGACGAGAAGGTGTTGAAGAGCATTTTGAAGAAAAATGTGATTCCAAAGGAAGGGCATGAAGTCAAACTGATCGTATACTACAAGAGCCCCAAAACATCCAATTTGGTGATCTGTAACCGCCCCAAAAGAAGCTGCCTGCAAGAGACGCATGTTGTCTACAAATACAATTGTCAAAAAGGAGATTGCAAGCTCCGAGACACATCGTCTTACATAGGCAGCACAACGATGACCCTGTCCCGCCGACTCTCATACCATCTGTCTGCGGGTGGTCCAGCTGAACACTCCCAGCGTGCCCACGGTGAGCGCATCACAAGACAGGACATGGTGGACAACACAAGCATCTTGGACAGGGAGAATAACATGTGGAAGCTGAGGATCCTCGAGGCCGCCTACATCCTAGAACACTGCCCGTCCATGTGTGATCAGCGCGAACACAGGGGACGGATCACGCTGACAGGATAGGAGGTGATGGTGAAGTGTGTGTGTGTGTGTGTGTGTGGGGAGGGGACTGTTCAGTGTATAGTGAACGAGACATTTCGTTCATTCTGATACGTTAGTATCTGCTAGATCGGTGGTAGTAGATGGAGATGTTGCATGATGGAAGCAGCACGTTTGAATTTTCGAACTAGATTCGAACAACCGTGCACTGAATTTTGACAGGTCACATCGCATTTGTTTTAAGGTCAACAAAAATGTATGAAGTAACTTAGATATAATGTAAGTGTTAAATGTGATGAGAGTGTAAAGTGTAAATGCCTGATGACGAAGTGAGTACTTCGAAACGCGTCGCAAAACGTAAATCAATATAATGCATGTATGAACATTGGAGATACTTTACACCAGCTGCCAGAAACTGACCGGAAAGTGATAAGAAAGAAAGAAAAGCTTCAAAAGAAAGTGATAAAAAACAAATACGCGATCGTATTCAACCAAACTTGCCTCAAAGAAGAATATATATATATATATATATATATATATATATATATATATATATATATATATATATATATATATATATATATATATATATATATATATATATCTCATCGTCATATATATATATATATATATATATATATATATATATATATATATATATATATATATATATATATATATATATATATATATATATATACAAGTGTTGTTGAACAGAATAGAGAGTTTCGCATTTGTTATTTTTTTGCTCAGACTTTCCACGTTTCGTATAATCTTCTTATTTTCTGGCGTATGTTGAAAGAGGACATTTCCGAGGTTCATAGTGAAAAGAAGGAAGAAGATGAGACACATGTTTAATGAGTAAA